AGTTTCTTCCGGACCTGACGTGCTCTGAGCTGGCTTAGGGGTTAAGGGTTTAGGGTTTTATGGGTTGAGGATTTAGGGGTTTGGGGTTTAGGGGTTTAGGGTTAGGGATTTGGGGCTTAAGGGTTTAGGTTGGATACTGCCCCCACTCAGTAACAGTTGGATAATAAGTAGAATATGGTTATATATGGCAATTGGAGGGCAGTACCCAAGGCTTAGGGCTAAGGTTTTGGGGTCAGTGGTTTAGGGTTTAGGGATTAGGGATTTGGGGTTTAGGGTTTAGGGTTAAGGAATTTAGGGCTTATGGGTTTAGGCTTTAGGGGTTTTGGGTTCAGGATTTAAGGCTTACGGATTTAGGGCTTAAGGGTTTAGGGTTTAGGGCTAAGGTTTTGGGGGCAGGGGTTTAGGGTTTAGGGGTTTGGGGTTTAGAGGTTTAGGGTTTAGGGGTTTAGGGTTTAGGGTCGCTATACCTTTCCCATTCTAAGGGGTCCAAGAACTGCAATCCGGGATTTGGGTCTTCGTTTGGGTGTAAAATTCTTACCGGGAGTTCGCAGCGAAATGGGAATATCTTACATAGGGATTGTACAGGGATGATATTCCTCTCTCTTCTCTACTAAGAACCAATAAGAATTCTGGAAGGCTGATTTCCAAATGTTGGCTGCTGTGCCCAAAAAACCCTAAACCCTAAACCCTAGACTCGGAACCAGTAGGTCGGCTGTCTTCAAAAGCCCCTCAGCACCCTCTTACCTTGCGCGTTCTTAGTAGGGAATACGGGAATATAATCCCTATCTAACCCCTATATCATCCCTATTCCATATACTCCAATAAGGATGATATAGGGTTAGTTAGGGATTATATTCCCGTATCCCCTACTGAGAACCCAAAAGGTACAGTATAGCTACTTAGACAACAATCTTCCAACAAGATGAGACTGACAAATTTGTTCCTCTATCCGAAGCCATACACGCTGGCCACTAAGAACTTGAAAAGCCTAAATGCCGAATAGCCAAAATACACTAAATATCCTACATAACCTAAGCCCTCAACCGCGCAAAAAAACAAAAACAAAAAAAAAAACTTTACAGTGGCACTGGACCTCTGAATCTTGGATCTTTAAGGCCTGCATGATTTACCTGCACGACTCCTTCACACTACGTCAAAAAAGGGGGCGGGGGGGTCCTGTAACGGGGATGGATTACAGGGGTTACATAGATGCATAAGCTTCAGGGTTTCCAGAAATTGGAAATCCTTTGTTGGGGAGTCCAGGATCGCAATATATATTCGTACCTAAATTCCTGACCCCTAATTGCGGAAAATGTCCCACACAAATGGAGCGCTCAGAAGGATCGTCTTCCATCTACCGTGGAAGATCCCCTTCACGGAACATTAGCTATTGTTTAGGTGGACCCCCCACCCAGTAATAGTGATTATAGGGGATAATACGGATTATATTATTAGGGTCCTCTTATATTGCTATTATACCACTATTACAGGGTGGGGGGTCCTCCTGAGCAGATATGGATTAGAATAACAATATTTTATAGGCCACAAGACAAAACGATGCCGACGATGACGCCTGCAAGTAGCAAAAACAACCATCAACTCTGAGCTCAGGCCCTTAACTCTGAACTCGAAACTCTAAACCCTAAATTCCTGAAACCCTAAACCCTAAACTCTAAGCCCCAAATTCCTAAAACCCCAAACTCCTAAAACCCTAAACCCTAAATTCCCAAACCCTAAACCCTAAACTCTAAACCCCAAATTCCTAAAACCCCAAACTCCTAAAACCCTAAACCCTAAATTCCCAAACCCTAAACCCTAA